GCTTTTGGCAAAGCACTTCCTTTGTCCCTTGTAGTTTTCTTTCTACAACAGGGAGAAAACAACACCCCCACCTCCGCATTCCTTTCCCTTCCCACTTAGCCCCTTTCAGCAAAACTGTTTGATCTTTTGCTTTTGCAGCAGGAATTCTCTGTCACATGGTATTATTGTGGTGCCTGCCAGAATATCTGGGCTTTATGCCCTTAGCACACACAAGTGTGTGTGTGTCACTGTAGACACTAAATGAGGCTGAATACCTGTTTATCTTCCAAGCAACATAGATTCAAACCCAAATTCTAGCAAGTACCTTGGGTTTTTATTTAGCAATCTAGACACATGTGGAGCCTGTCCCTGCACTCTGTGCAGGTTCATCTCACAGACTCATCATCAACAGAGAGGAAACTGTGGGGACTGGGGACAGGTCACTGTGGCCATCATGCATTACAGTTAAAGTCTTTTATTGTCTGTGCTGGGGTTTGAAGTCTCTGTCTCTTGTTTTCTGTGTGAATTAGAGCCACACTCCAGCCACCTCAGCTCTTGCAAGGGCAGATGATAGTGATGAGGATGAGTTACCCTGGTGCTGCATCTGCAACGAAGATGCCACTTTGCGCTGCCATGGCTGTGATGGGGACCTCTACTGCCAGCGCTGTTTCTGGTGAGTATCACAATTCCTCTGGGTCTGAGAGGTGGGTCAAAGGTAAGCTTGGCCCCTTTTGTATGTTTTTCTCATTGGGCAGGAAAACAGGCAGTAGGAGGCAAGATTTGAGGAATCCAGATTTGAGCTGAATGCTAGGTGTTAGAGAAGTACTTTCTTGTGATCAGTAGTTGTCTCAGGCTTCAGGGAGTAAACTGGTGCTAGGCAGAAGTGCTTCAGTGCATGTTTGGGCACATTGTCTGAGTGTTCTCTGGAGCAGCTGATGTGCTGCATTACGTGGGATGGGATAAATGAGACTATTGTTCAGTGACTCCTATGGCTTGTTAATGCCATTTGATGCATGACCTGGGCTGGATTCCCTTAAAGGGGGAGATCAGATAATATGAATTACTGAGGCTTTTCTTAGGTTGAGACTGCAATCCTAAACCATATTAAAAAATTCGTTGTTTAGATACGCATGTGTGAGCTTTTTTTCACCAGTCAGACCTTGCAGCAGCTGTAGTCTTGGTTCTTAAACATGTGTGGCTTGATTTTTGACAAAATTTTCATGTCTCAGATTTGGAGGGTTAATTCCTTTGAATGCAAAGCTATTCCTAGCAGCTTGTGTGATTTCTCTTTTTTCATGCCTCAAAATTGTTGGGTAGTTGTCTGGGTTCTCAGATGAGTGCTGGATGACATTAAGACAGCAGGTTGCTAAAAATGAGGTTGGTATAACAAAAGATGCTTTTGTGCACATTTTCTCATTTCCTGCAAATGTATTTGTAGGAAAATGCAAATGCAGGGGGGGTGGGTATTTTCAGAAAACATATGACTGGCAATGTTACATTATTAAAAACAAAGCATAGAAACAAAACTACCTGACAGCAAAAATCAGTAAAAGCAGATTTAACTGGTGAGTGTATCAGCCACATGCTGTCTTACTCAGCACTGCCTGCTCCTGAGTGTGGTTAAGACAGCTGCCAATGCACTGCATTATTTTCAGTTATTTTCCAGAGTTTTCTGGAGGAGACTGTCATTTTGTCTGTTGTCACAGTTGCTAATGTCCCTGGAATCACAGACACAGTGATGAAAATGAGCCATTAGTTACATGAATCTCTACAAGAGGGAAAGAAACAGAAGGACCTGTTGTTATTTTCAAATCCAACTGACAAGGATGACCAGACCTTCTCAGAAAGCACCTCAGAAATTTCTGTTACAAGCACCTATCTTAAGTAGTTAGTCCACATGGCTGCCAGTCAGGTCCTCTCAGCCAGCCCTTGGGATAAGTTTCTGCTTAAGGGCTGCTGGGTGATATCTTGTGCAGTGGCTAAGGAGGGATTCCTGGCCTGGGTATTTACTTCTGACCACACTTTGTTTACTTCTTAGGGAAGGCCATGAGGAGTTTGACCTGAAGGACCACCAAACCTCCCGCTATCATCTTCCTTGCAAACAGAAGTGACCACACTCTTCATGGGGAGAAGAGGAGCTGGAGAATGGGAAGACAGAGGAGCCGGCCAGATGGAAGAATCCAAGTGGATTTGCAGCCAAAACGGGTGATGTTTTGGACAGTTAAAGGATGAGCTGTAATCTGAGAGAGGCTTGGAGGGCATGTGACTTTGTTCTCACAAATACACCTGGGAAGTGCAGGGTTTGCTGTGCATGCTTGGGGATAAATGAGGCCTTGATGTGAGGAGGTGGATACAAATCCATAAATACAGATGGTGAAGCAATGTGGGTAGCAGTAAAGTCGTGTGTTTAAGGCAGTACTGACTGCCTGATAAATAACTTCCTGCTTTTACTAACAGGTTATGCACTGGTTCAACAGGCAGCAAAGCACTTTGCACTGAGAAAAATGTCTGCGTTGTGATCACTTGTGTGATGAGAACTTCAAAGCATAATAAAAGTTATTTACAGAGGCCTGTGGTTAAAGTCTCTCCTGAATATGCTGATAGCCCTTTACAAAGTGTTGCTTTCTTATAATGGTATGTTAGTCCTAGTGTCAAGTGGCTTAGGAAAAGAAATGAAGAATAGTGAAGTTATCAAAAATGTTTCTGTGGCTTGACTGGAAAAGATGTAGGGCAGTGTTGCTCACTGACTCGAAAGAAAGGATCCTTTGAAAAGGTAGTCTGCTACTGAAACAGTGTTGTGGCTTGCAGTGGCTGTGCCAAGGTCATGTCTGTAAGAGCAACATGTTAGTCTGAAAGTGTATTAGTCTGAAAGGAGGAATTGACTTTATTATTTGGTCCCCTGGTAGGATGTTACCTGTGTGATGCTCTTTCTGTGGTTACGAGGGAAGCTCAGTTGCACATGTCCATGTCCCTCCTGGGAGACAATCCAGATGCAAGTGGCACTTGCCAGTGCCCAGAACACTCAGAACTGCTTCAAATACCCAACTAAATTGGCTGTAAACAGACTCTGTTATTCCGTCAGGATGAGCTCTTTCCAAATGATGTGACTTCTGAGAGAGCTCTGTGAGGTTGACAAATTCCAATTGCAACAAAATAAAGGATTTGCTCTTGACAGGGAATTTACAATGAATCTTGCCTGTCTGGTTTGACACTGCCACTCCCAGCTGTCTGCCTTGCCCCAGTGCTTAAGGTCAGTGTCTCCGAGGTGAAGTGATGAAACAGTGTTTACCTGCACCTCTGGTCAGAGGACAGCAAATGAATTAAACCACTGTTGAAGGTGGGTTTCTGCTAACATGCTGCTCTGGATCAGACTCTTCAACAGAAACCTGGTTCAAACAACGTAGAATAGAAATGCTTTAGGTTAACACACTAAAAATGGCAAGCATGTCCAGCAGTGCCATCAAAACCTTTTCTTAGGAAGGGCTGGAAAAACCTGACTTCTGTAGAAGATCTTCTTTCTCCTGGCAACCCTTGTTTCACCAGTGCCTGTCTCCTTGGACAGGCAGATGGAAAAACTACTCAAGTTGTTCTGATGCAAGAGCTCACAATTAACCCTGTGTTACACAAAATTTAAGTAAGTTGCAGCCCTGAGGAGCTTGCAGTCTTAAAAATGAGAACAAAATGCTGTTCTTTCTTTATGTTATCATAGGAGCGACGCTTTTTCATTGCTATTTGACATGGATAATTAGTCTGATAGTAAGACAGCCCATTTCTGTTTGAGGTTAAATCCTTCACGTTTCACATATGCAGGGGAAGGTGCAAGTATCTGTTCTTATTTCTCTCCTAAACTGATCCACTGCTTTGGGCTTCAGCCTGTGTCTTCTCCAAGCAGTTAATAGTAATTTTATTACTTGATTTACAGCTGCTGCTTTTTTTAATATTAGTCTGAGCTGGTATGATACTTGCAACATTTTGAATGCTTCATCAGCAACAACAAAACTTTTGAGCTCCCTTGCAGTTAGGCAGCCTCTGTCCTGTAAGCCCTGCCCTGTTTCACATCAGTAGTAATGGAGCAGGTTGCAGCCGGAAGCAGTTTATTTAGATTCCCAGATTGGTTTCTGTGGGGCCATCCCAAGGAATCCAGAAATGCACCCAACCCATTACTTGAAATAGAACTTAGTCATACATGGAAGAGTCTCTTCAGTAATACAGACACATGCTGCTGCTTTCCCTGCACCACTAATGGACATTTTTGTGGCTGCTGTACTTTCTGCATGTAATGGGCCATTTTAGTAGTAGCCCAATCACTTTCCCCTGAAAAGCCATTCCCACTGTAGCTGTTGCCTCAGTGAGCTCCGTATAGGGGGGGCGGGCAGAGGGGTATCCAGATGGGCAGTCTGCAGGAAGCACACCTAGCTGCAGCTGTGTTGTGAAAGAGGAATGCTGCATGACCTATAACTGGGCAGTGCACTGTTAGCTGTGTTGCTTACTCCCTCTCCTTGTCTTTGAAAAGGTGCTGGTAAACAAAGACACTGGTAATCAGTCCATTTCTGACAGGCCAGATCAACTTCAGTCATAGCTGTTCAAGGACAAAAGGTAGTTTGGCACCTTGCAGAAAGAGATTCAACTTGTTTGCTCTTGTCTTTGTAGGAAGTCATGAGATTTTCTTTCCCTCTCAAAATGTTTTGTACGTGAATTATCAAATGTAGGCTCCACTCCAGCAAGAATTCAAATTATAAAAGCTCATGAACTTTCATACATTGACTTATCTTGGTATAATCAAGAGGGTTCCTTTCAAGCAACATTCTTAGATAGTATCTGCATACTTTTGCCAGTGGTGGTGCAGAGAAACAGCAAAGTTAACTGGAAGATGTTTGTAAAAAAAATTTTCAGGCACTGATTTTAATCTGTCCTTGTGGTCTAGTCTGAGAACAGCCAAAATGTAAATCAAACCAATTATGATTTACTACTATTTAAGAACGAGACAAAAAAGAAGTTACTCTGCCTTATGTTGCTTTTTCTTTTGCACCAGTGAGTTGAGAAATCATCTACCACTGACCACACATTGCCTTGCTCACCTGATCTCACTGTGCTCAGCTGAAGGCCAAATAAGCATAAAGACAACTTCAGTCAAGCAGAGTTTTTGGATCCTGCTTTGTCTTTGGTTCTAACAATGTCTACCCTAAAGTACAGACAAAAATTCTTTTTGCATCACTCCATATTGAGAAAATACAGAACAATGCCTGGGGGGACAAAATATTTCTCTTGGACCAGAGGAGAAGCATGTTGTGTCTTTGCGCTGTTGCAGCTCAGCAGAATAAAACAAAGCCTGTTGGTGGGGTATGTAAGTAGTCTGAACTCCTATACTACAGTGTGCTGTAGCTAATTACATCTCTAGTTTAGGGCAGTCAGCTAATGGCCTGTCCACCTAGATCTTCCACCTGAACTTCTGTTTGATCCTAGTCTGTTTTTAACAGTATTCAGAGGTTTCTGTTAATATGCTGCTCTCTTTTCTCAAGGGGTGTGTTACATGTCTTAGCAGGTGTCATCTATAAGCAATATCTGCAACCATTGCAGCTCTGGATTTTTGTTGTTATTTTACTTAAAAGTTCGGATTTCATGAGGGTAGGCATGTCCCACTAGCCCCTATTTAAGCCAAAAATGACACATTCCCAGGACTCCCGTAGATAGATATTGGCCCTGATAAAGAGAGACCATTCCAGACTCCAGCATAGTGGGTGAGGCTTAGAACATCTTGGAGCAGCCTTTGAACAAGATATGAGGTCCATGGCTTGCCAACTTCCAGTCACATACAAGAACAGCATGTGAAAGGAAGCAGGCCCTTACATCACAGTTGTTACTCCAGCTTGGATTTTGTCCTCTTAGAGGACAACCCACAGTTTGTTCACTGACACCTGGAAAATAGGAGGGAAGAACAAGATCATAGTCATCACTGCTGCTGATAAAGATGGAAAGACTAATGCATTTAAGATATTACTGGTCCAGCCCAAGACTCCTTGTTTGTCTTGTTAGCTAACCTGCATGTCCCTCTGGTTCTGTAATTGGTCCCTTCTGCCCCGGCTCACCAAACAAACAAAAGATAGACTCAAAAGCTGGCCTTGAGCGTTCTGCTCCATAGGAGCCCCTCTGGATGTGATTCAGACTCGTCTCTTGTGTTTGCATGGCAGGCATCACTGTAGGGACAGTGCATAATGTGAGAGTGTGCTGCCTAAGCAATCAGCCTCCACCTGCTGTCTTATTTCCTGGTCACATGTGTCAAGTTACTGACTTGATGAGAGGCTGGATGTAGTTTCCTCTGTATTTTTCCAGGCAAACATTAGTTGTAGCCAGAAGAGCTTGTGGGAGCAAGGTGTCTACTCTTGTGGACACTCAAGTGTCCTACTTCACTGCTCGTTTGTGAGACCTACCTGTCTGCAAAAGACTTGCTCCAAGATGCTCCCTGAAGGGAAGTTGGGAGCAGGTATTTTCTTACTTCAGTTTTACTTTAGAATCTAAAGAGAGAGCAAAATCAAGCAGTGCATGGCTGGTTTTCTCTGTTTTAATATAAAATTGAGTATTTTTCCAACATCTTTTTAAACTAGGAGAAAAATAATTTCCAGACCTTGTTCCTTTAGAAAAGGCTTCTAAGTCATAAGTCTTAAATTCCACAAAAAGGAAAAAAAAAATCAGCCATTAGCCTTAGCAGCTGTTTCACAAACTTCCCCTTAAGTAGGCCAGGTGCACTCAAACTGTCATATCTTTTCTGTCCAACCTTCATAAGTAACAGAGGCACATACTTTGTAATAAGACATACAAAGTACGTGCAATGCTGTAGAGTCAGGTACAGCAGTAACAGGCAGGAGATCACAGTTGGGTCCAAGCCAGACTGAAATGAGGTGCAGCTTAACAGTGGCTGATTTTCCATGTTGATGAATGAGTGATAACCAATGCCTTGTTTTCCTTGCAGTGGACAAAAAAAGAAGTCTTGATGAGCTCCTGAGAATTGTATTCAGTGCTCCTTGGCCAGCATGGAAATTCCTAGAAGAATCTAAAGGAGAGGGACATCTTGTCCTGTTCCTCAGGTTATCACACTCTTTAAAAATAAGGAAAATGTACAATCTAGCTCCCTGCGGTGTGTGTAGATCTGGAAGGAGTGGAGACTTCAAACTACTGGTACAAAGTTCACAAACTTGGTGATGTTTCTCAGTAATAATAAGTCCTAAACGTATTCAGAAGTTCTGTTGCTGATCCTGGTTTTTGTGAGGAAGATACACGTTTCCTTATAACCAAAGCTGGGCTCTCCATGTGAGCAAGGTCATTTCTTCTGAGGATTGGTGACTCTCCGGAGACCTCTCAATCGACTAAGCAATTCCGTAATGAAGTCCTACGATAAGAATTGATTGAAGAAGGATGTCGTATTAATTCCAGTGCTCACCAGCCCAGACAGTACTATGGCATTTCCATCATCCCCACATTTACCCTTGCACTGAGCAGAAACCAGAATTTTGACATATATTGAGGAAACCTATCTTTTAGCTTAGGAAAGGAGACCTTGTGATGGATGAGAAGGGTCTAAAAACTCCTCTGCTTCCCTTCCCCTGTCTCCCTTTGGAACAGACATGTTTACTTTCTCCTCAGGAGCTAGCCTGACCCTCTTCATACCTGCTTTTCCCACCATGAGATGACCTCAGGATGCTGTTGTTCTCTTTTAGGTTCCACTGCTTCCTGTTGCCACCATAACCTCCTGCTCACTTCTGCTGCCCTCCCAATCTAGGGCAAAGCAAGCTGTCCCTCTTGTTCAACCAGTAAAGCTCCATGTTGTGAATTACAAACCATCCTGGAGCTGTGCCAGTTCTACAAGGAAGTGGCTGGCAGAGAAGAGGTGGAGCAAAACATGTAGGACTAATGGGAACATTGCACAGGGGTTGAGGACAGGCAGAGCAGATAGATGGGCAGTTAATGGAGACAAACCCTGACTACTTTGCTGACACAGCCAGGGACTATGAACTAAACTAGCCTATCTGGTTATTCCAAGCAGAAGGCAATGTGACTAGTGCAAACTTTACCCTTTGCGTGGCAAGTAACATCACCATAAAGTGTGCAGCCTTTCTTACCCAAAGACATAGCTACATGTTCTTGTAACTAGGCAAGGTCACTGGAAGTACTGCAGCTTGTTAGCATTTGTGCTGTGTGGAAGCCCAGCATCCTCACTTGGGTCATCAGAAGTTGCCACAATGTGCTCTGGAAGTAAATGCCTAGGATCATACATTCCTTTTCAGTCAGTCCTTGTCTTGTCTGCTTTCTGCAGTTAGATTGCTGTAATCTTTCAAGGGGACTGGATTCAAGATCCCCAGGGTGAAAGTACGTGTTTTTGCCAATGCGGCAGTAGTATCTGTATTGAGCAGATACTGTGCTATCCACAAGACACTTTCATGGCTTATAACTTAGCAGAGCAAGCTCTCTTCAGTTATTGCTCTGGGAATGTGGGATTCTTGCTTCACATGTGACATTCAGACAGTCTATTTCATATTGCCAGCTTTGCTGAAATGCCTGCTAGGAGAGTATCTGTGATGATTGCTACAGCCCAGTTTAGTTTCAGCCATATTAATTGTGATTCAGTGATTGAATTTCAGTCATGCATTTATCTCAAATTCTTATGTTCATCACTGCACAGACACATTGGCTGGACAACACATGAAGTGTGATGGATGATGTGTAAGCAGAATGTTCACATACAGTGCATGTGCAGCAAAGACAATCCCGGTGTGGTGCATGCACACGGTATTGCCTCCAATCATCTGGAATTAAATCATTGTGGGATTTAACTGTCTAATTCAAAGTCAAAACTTGTAAAGTTACCTGGGGGGGAAAAAAATCCATGTGTAAAACTAACCTACATGACCACTGCTCAGCAGTTATCTGCCCAGTCCAACCTAAGGGCCATTCTACATTTGTATCATTCATAACCCTGGAGTGTTTTAAGCTAAGAACGCATTTAGTTAACAGTGTAAAAAATGGTTATGTGAGCTATGTCACTGGCTATGGCTTTTCTACACTGACGATCACATAGCAACTCAGACTGATCAGCTTAGGATGTCCAAAACATGGAAAGAACTTCCTCTGATGGTAAAGCATAATTCCTTATTTGCTCCAGTGCTCTGCCTTCAGCTCATCCATGTGCATTTATTTGTAATTCTACAATCATAGAATAAAGTGGCAAACACCTCCCATTATGATTAAACAAATCTGCAGCAGGATAGTGTCTTGGCTACTCAGCCAAGCAGCAGCAAACACACCATAACAGAATAGTATAACATGTATACATGTAAATTTATATGGTGCTTTACTCACCTCTGTGGGGCTGGAGCACTCATGGAGGATTTCCTGAAAAAACAAGGAGTCATCATTTCAGTATTTTATGAGTTGGTCTAATTCTCCCCTCCCTACAAAAAGGAAGGCACAAGAAAGTATCATGCAACACTGCAAACACCTATACTCTACACCATATCCCACTAGTCTTTATGAAGAAAACTTCACTAACTTAAAGTCACCAAGTCCCTCTATCTGACCTGTAGTTTTAATTTCTGTTCTTCATTAGGGACCTCCAGGAGATCTTCAAGATCAATTTGTGGTTCAGGAGCTGCTGCTTCTGTTTCCTCCCTTAGCTAAAAAGGAAAAGAACCACCAGAGTTAATTAACCTTCAAACTTCTAAGAACTCTCGAGGCCATCTTTAAAGAACTAAGCAGCTGAGTTACAATAAAACTATGCTTCAACGTTGAGGTCAAGATATAAATAATCTCAAAAAAGGGAGGTTCTTATAATGAGGGCATGGGTTCCAGCCCCTTTGTGGTATCTGTGACAGCCATCCTGTTGTACACATTCTTCATCTTTTCCAACCACTACACTGCTCAGGAATCATCACCATCACTGGAAGACCGTTTCAAGGATATCAAACTGCAGTGCCATGTACATCAGCCTGTGACACCCTTCATCTGTGAGGAGTTCACCAAACAGAACTCCAACACGCTTAATCTTAGAGAGGCATAAACAATAGAAGCAGATTTTAGGGTTTTATGCTAATCATATTCACCCACTTTATACTAAGGCTTTTTGCAGTAATGGAGAGAAAAATAGTTATGCTGTTGAATGACCTCACAATACTTTGCCAGCTTTCTCTAATAGACATGAGAGGGATATAATAGTCTCCTTTAATGTAAGAGGGAGTCCAAGTTTTGGTGACTGAAGTAATAATCTTGTAGTGCGTGAGGGTGTTGGAAACATTTGTAAACTTTATCACTGACACATTTTAGCTTCACAAATGTCCGCAAGGAAAGCAGCCTGTGTTTTTCAATTGTATTTGCCAAATGAATCACAACACAACACTAGTTATATTTTGGCATAGTAATCAGTAGAATAAGGGTACTGGGTGAACAGCACAGTACCTGGTTGCCAGGTTGTGGCATTTATGGATGTGTATGTAAAACATTAAGCACTAAAGCACTAAAGGCAATACTTACAGGAAAAAAAGAAACTTTTCCTGAGCAGTCACGGATACCAAGCCAGAGAGTAAGTAGAAAGCCTTTGTTTTAGCTTTAATACACAGCTAACTTACAAATAAATAATAAACCAGAGTGCTCAGTGACCCACACAGTATTTAATCTTAAAACTAATAGTTTACATGTGACATTTTAGAACAGGTGTTGATCCAGTCTGATTCTGTCTGTGGTTAAGAAGCTGAGTAGGCTGAGAGGGCAAGATAGGCTAGGAAATCCCTGTGGGTTTTAGTCCTAGTGTGGATGCTGTTCTGGCTTCCATGTGCAAGGAATCCTCTTGAAAATCACAGACTCTTAGTTTTGTTGCAAAAAATCCTTGTGACAATAAATATCATAACATTCCCTGTATCAGGAGATGATGTTTGAACTAACCTTGCTGTCATTTGAATCTCTGGAAGATACCCAGGAACACTGCACTGGCCAGGGCAGGTGGAACAAAGTAAGAGGTAACAAAGAGGCAATTGTAATGGAAGTTGATGGATACAAGGAAACCCAAAGAAGCAGGGCAACTGAATAGTCTTGTCACAACGCACAGAGGAGAGCAGGATGACCTGCAGGACACCTCTGTGATTGCAAGTAATTTACTGTGACACATGTATGTATTTGAAGAGATCCTATTAACAGTCTCTGAACTGGCACAGCATTATGTTATGTAGTTCCTTGTAGCAAATCTCTTATGCTGGCCTGAATACCTCAGGAAGCAGGGAAATTTGTTGTGCTGAAGAGATACTAGTAAGAGCAATCCACTAGCAATCTGTTCTTGTAAGGGCATGGCTGGGTTTATCACTTGTGCCTGCTGGGATTTTGCAGAAGGGAGAAAGAATCCCCTTTGGGCAGCTACTCTGATGACAGTGAGCAGCTCTTACTTAATTCTCTGGAAAACAGAAGGCATAAACTGACTTGTTTTTCTGACACCTTTACAAGTGTAAAGGTCTGTCTCTACACTTCAGCAAGTAAGAATAGCACATGGAGAACCCCATATTGGGTCATGTTACTGGTCATACCAACTGCTTTTTGTCTGTCTCAGGAAAAAAAGTGCCAAAAATTTAACTCTTCAAAAGTGTAGTAATTCTCCAAAGGACAAGATGTTCTGTTAATCAAAGCATCAGCCATTCTCCTTGCTTATCTCTAGCAAACCTCAACAGTCAGGAAACAGACTCTGTGAACTGACTGACCTACCAATTCCAGGGACAGTCCCTTTAATGCCAGTGCAGGCATGTGTGGGAAGCAATATTGTCACTGCCACTCTTTTGAACAGCCTTTGCTCACCAGGACTACCACGCTAGAACTTTGCAGACACGCTGAACTTTGCGCCTGTCTGACTGGGTCTGCTGATAGATTCTGCTTCCATGTGCACTGTGTAATATTTCATAATGCATTATAAAGAGGCTTAAGATGCAGCTGAGAATTTATTATTATCATTTTAATAAGCTGTAGAAAACAACTGGAAATTCACAAATAACGTAAAAAGATTAGTCATTTTTACTAAGCAAGCTATATTTGGGAAATCTAAAAAAGTTGGTTAACAGAACAGAAGCAGTAATATACTCATTTTCAGAGAAGACATGCATTTGCAGCAGAAAGAAGGACCTTTTTCTCCATATTTGTTTTCTACCTGTTCTTTGCATAAGGCATAAATAAAACAGAAATGAACTATTTTTATCTCCCAACATGGCATGAGTCTGGCACATTCCCACAAATATCAAATAGGAAACAGTCACACAGAAAATCATTGTAATAATGATTATAACAACAAAAAACTACAGCAACAACAATAATAAGCACAGACTTAGAAGCAGTTCCTGAAGTCTGGGTCTTGAGCTGTGGAGGTGACATGATTCTGTAGCTCTCAGGCCCAGAAAATCTGCCTGGGCAGGCAAAAATTTCTCTGTACCATCATGGCAAATAGCATGAAGCCCACCATTCCTGGCCTGTTCTAACATGTCCACTGTTGATTGCAATTTGAAGCTGCTGATACTCAGAGCGGAAGACTCTAAGCAATCATCAGCTCTTATTTCCTTGTCTCTCAAAAGTGTGCTTAACACTGTGCTGAGCTGCAAATACAGAATACAGGACATAAAGGGTCCGACAATTAATTTAGTCTGTTCCCATCCAGGACATAAATAAGTGGTTTTACGCAATTTGTTAAAGCCATCTGTGTCATCCCTTGAAGATGCAGATTCTCTGTGGGTCAAGAAAACTGTGTTCACTTACTGTATCAGCCGCTGCCCTAGAGAGAAAAGCAAAATCCTTAATCAAGCTATTTAAAAAAGGTTTGAGATCATGATGTGCAATGGGGGAAAGCCTTTCATCTTTTACTGTACCAGACTCCAAAGGATTATCTCAAACACAGAAGAGCTCTATTGCTTCTGAAAGCACCCAGCATGAGTGTCATGCATCTGAGGAAAATATATGAATAGAAGCGATAGTACAGGGTTAAAATTTCAATATACCCAGGCAGCGCTGGAACTTGAATGGGTTGAATGTACTACTCAAAGGAACTTGAATGTCACTAACCCAGCAAAAAAATGCAATATCTCAACTAAAGACCTATACCATTCAGGTGCTGGATGTAGGCACTCCTCGATCTTTCCTACTAGGACAGCTCTCAAGCAGGCAGGAAGAATTTGGGAGGAACTGTTCCTAGTGCAAAGGGAAGCTCAGGCAAGGGAGACAGCTCTGGAGATTGGCGAAGATGAAAGCATAAGATCTCTACATTTGACCAAGAGTTTTTTTTCCCATTCTTCCCTGTTGCCAGTGGCGTGTCCAGACTCTGCAGTTACAGATACAGCACATTCCAAAGTGTCTCATTCAAACAGCAGGTAGAGCCTCACTGTTGTGTCAAAAAGGAACAGGGATACACTGATCACTCTAACCCAGCTGGCTCGGATACTGCTCACTGCAAAGCCACTCACCATGTGGAGCTCAGCAACAAGAATCATCCTGGGTTTATACATCTCTCTAGGTTGTGCTACTCATGCTGAGCAATAGCTACATCCCCTCAGTGCATGCAGCACCAGGCAGTTCAAAGCCAGTTGGATTGCATCAGTGCAAGCTTCCCTGCCTGCTGACACACCAGTCAGAGTGCTGCAGAGGGGGCATGGAGATACCTGCTGGAAGTTGAAGACAAGGAACTGTTTCTAGTGAGGCAGAGCAAACAAACACCTGTGGCAGCACACAGGGCCTCTAGATCCATTCACCTGACAAGCAATTGGACTTCCCCCAGCTACTCACCCGGCATTGGTACAGCTCCTGCAGCTGGGCATTGATCCATTCCTCCAGGTCTAGCCAGCGCTGTAGGTCCTTGCGGTTGTACTTTATGGTCAACTTGCCCAGTTTCCTGTGTGATGATTCCTCCCCAGGTTTCTCTGGCGTCTGGAAAGTCACCCGGGGCAGTGCACTGGAGTTGCTGGCCATCCTCACTGCCTCCTCCTCAGACAGCAGGAACTCGCCTTCCTCTGGGCTCCCTCACACCTTTTCTCGGTCTCCTTTAACCAAAGCTTCTCTGCAACCACTGTCTCCCAGCACAAGCTAGTTACAGGCACCAAAGGTGGGAGGCATTGGTGTTCCTAGGGAGAGAGTTAGGGGTGGCCCAGGGCTGGAGCAGCAGCCAGGCTCTGCAGGCAGAGTTACAGCCGCAGACTCTTGGGTTTCACCATCAGATGTGCTGACAGGAACAGGGAGGCAGGCAGAGTTGTTGTAATAACATCTGTTGTTAAAAGAAGCCAAGTGAACCAGGGAATTGATGAACCATGTTTGTTAATATTTAACACAAGTCAGCTCCAAGAGGTGGGGAAGAAGGAGGTTTTAAATTACAGTTTTCCTACAGGCATAACTTACATGCATGTGCAATTCCAGAGGGCTGATCCATACATAATGCATTGAATCCTGCTGCAGTTCACACTCAGTAAGCTGCCTGCAGCTACAGGGTTTAGCTCCCTTTGAGATGGTATATTTGGCCCACTGGACCCAGTACAGATAAGAAGTAGTCTGGAATCAGGCAGTTCATCCATTATTTTACAGCAGTAGGCCAGGAAATGACACTGCAACCCGTAGTTGAGCTCAGCAGTTCCATTTTTCATTCTATATTCTCTAGGTTAACTCCAGCTGTCTCAAAAATTTCTGTAGAAATCCCAATTACATGAATTTGAAATTATTTGAGCATGGAAATTCTGGGACAAAAGAAAATATCTGTGCTCATATTATGAAAAAAGTACAGTATTTGATGAGATGGCACTGCAGGGGAAGACCTCACTAGGGATATAGAACCATCTCCTTCCCACAAAGAAGTATTCATGGTAAACAGGTTCACCTGCTGAGGCATCATAAATGGCTATCAAACTATATATTATCTATGCTTGGTTTACAGTTCTTTCACAGCTGGTTAAAGGTCTGCAGCATTATTGGCCTATACCATTTAGAAGGATATGTGTGAGAAGTGCACACTGCTGTTGTGTTCAGAGGAACAGAAATCAGGCTGGCTGTGATTACAGGTGCCAGGACATCTGGTACTGGGACATCTGTGTCCCTTCAGATGCTGTCACCCCTCTTTATTCAGCTGTTCCCAGAGCCCTCCAGCAGCCTGCCCAGGGAGGTGCCCCACCACATGGACAAACCGAGACTCTCCATCCTGAAGCAGATCAAACACCTCCAGTCTCATGACTCATGTGGAAAAAGCAAGTAAGCCTCTGCTGCCAGGAGCCAAGGTATTTCCAGTTTGGAGGCCAAGAGCTAGATAAGCCAAAGGAAAAGTAACTGACCCTTCTCCCACCAAAAGGTGCTGCCAGGCAGCGTGAGGCAGTCTGCAGAGGGGCAGTCCCCCTGACACAGTTCTGTCCTCAGAAGGACGGTGGTACAGCCAACCAGCAAAATCTTGTACACAGGATGATAAAAAGAAGAGCAGGACCATTACAGCCCTTCCTTTAATCCTTAGTGTGAGGGGGGGGAAAAAGTTCCTTTTTAGATGGGAAGTTCTGCAGTTTGCTTTCACATACATGAAGAATAAAGTATGAAAGTATACCTGAAACTGATATTATCTCCTCTGTTTTTCTGACAGCCTAAACTTCTGTTGAGAAGACAACTGTTAGCCATGTAATTTTAGCAGCTTTACCCATTTTTCCTCATATACTGCTTGGCAGTATCTCTCCTCTAATCCAATTCCTAAAACTTCCTTATTTAGATCAAAGTTACACAGAAAAATCTGTGTTGAGAGGCTCATAGCATACACAGTGAGTGCAGTTTCTTCAGAGATTCTTAACGAGGTGGAATCCTTGTAAAACCCATTGAACAACTTATAATGTCTTTACAACTGTTGACTTTTCAAAGGTTAATATGACCTAAAATGGGCAGATATTCACAAGGTAAGTCTGGACCAAAGGACAGACATTCCTGTCTCCAAATAGAAGTGCTCTATTTTGGTGTTCAAGGACTGACATATTTGAAAGGGGAAAAGAGGAGGAAAACTGTACTGCTTTGCATCCCAAGAATCTCTAGAGAGGGTGGCATTAAGAGCAGAGAAAGAGGGACAGACTTAAAGGAGAAGCTACTTGTTATCACTGAGTCACTCCAAATATCTGCAGTGGCTGAAGTGATGGCAGGAAAGCCCCTTTCTTCCATCCCCTGTGCTAACTCTGGTGCTCTTGAGCAGTTTAGTTTAGTTAATCTCTACATTAAAGGTAGGGTTTGCACTGTTAATACTTTGCCAGCATGGTTGAATTTATGAAGCAAAGGATCCAGAAGTCACAGGAGAGCTGTGAAAATGAGGGAAAAGGGAACATAACCTACTCTAGTGGCTCTTCAAGTAGCTTGAACTGCTGCTGAGTTGAAACCTCACTTGAGCTGAGATGCCTGAAAAGGTCTGAAAAGATCCACAGGCTTGTTCTCTGAGTAACTCAGACTCACCCCAGGGCCTGTACTGTACCAACAAAGTGATAAACAAGGGCTGCAAGCCAAGGGCCACAAGCCCTCGTGCTGCTCTATCAGTGCCACCCTACAGCTGAACAAGACGTTCAGAAGATGATGTCAGAGGTCCTCACAGGAGAGCTGTAAACCAAAATGAGCCAGATTACAGGATGTTCATCATCCTGCCTTGGCTTATTTCAGTTTAGTCATGAATTTGTTGTAATAAGAAAGTGGCTATATAAAAGCAAATGTTTACTGATAAAGTAGGCCTCCTCCAGTAATAAACTGTTTTAAACTATGATCAAAGCAGGAAGAAAAAGCAAAGCCAGTGCAAGATCAGTGCTTGAGGGTGTGGTAGAAGTTCCTGCAGGCTCAGGACTGGGTGCCTCATTCAAGGCAGAGGATATTGTGAATGAGGTGCACCAGCCACCTGCCAGTGTTGGTAAATGCCAGCTGCCACCAAAAAAGAAGCAGCTTCAAGACTTCCTTCACAGTGCTGCACCCATCCTGCCCTTTGCTTGCATCACAGCACATTCACGTGGCCAAAGGGACAGAAAGACATTCAACAACCTGGACCAAAATTTCTGGAGTGAACACACATACGTGGGCAACTAAATCATCTAATCAGACAACCTGGTTTTTCACAAGAGTTGTGCACATGTGAGCTCCAATGGACCTCTTGCTGCAGCTGTTTGTGACCCTTTCCTCTGCAAATCTGCATATCATTTATGTTGGTGAATAAAGGGAGTTTAAACATGGCCAACACATTTGAATTGTTAGACTGAAAGAAACACTATGCCTCCGTTTCCGTGTGTGTGACCTGGGGTTGCTGATCCTCCAGGCCTACCCTAAAAGTGAGGTGCCTCTGAAAGGAGGGGAGAATTCAGTACTGTGGAGTTGGACTTTTATGACTCTTTGTGGTGCCAGAGAAGGCCACCAAACCAAGCTGAGCACAGGCATCATAGTACCAAACAGCTGTGACATTGATCCGAGCAGCAGAGCATCCAAGGGCATGAGTCAGATCCAGTTACACTCCTCCATTCTTGAAGCTAGTAATCTCCATCCCACACCTGTGACCTAAGATGGTGCTTCTCTTTCTTCCTGAGCTGATGGCCGTGGTGTGTGCTTAATTATTCAACAGGGCCCCAGCTCATCTTTCCACAGAACCAGGTTGGCCCCTTTCCCTTGAGTCCCAGACTAGTGAGGAACATTTCCCTTCAAGACAGCAGAAGCCACTCTCCACCTGCTTTAGAAAATAATCACTTTCCCTGTGGTTGAAAATGTGACAGCTAACACAAACCAGAGAAGCCAGCAGAGGTGACTGTATCAATACTACAGTGACAACACAAGGTAAAGAGGTTCTGTTCCTTCCTGGGAACAGGAATAGGCACAGAAAAAATGTTGTGCAATAAGACAATGTAGACAGGACTGAAGATTTTAAAAATCCAGAGCCCTAAGTGAGCTACCCCAGTGCACCCAGCATCTTGATGTCCATCATCCACTTGCTTTATTTTTCAGTGTCTGCATGGGAGCGTGGAAACCAAAAAGGCTGCACTTTTGCCCTAGAGTTCTAGCAAGTAGAGGGAGAATGCACCCTCAGTTTCTGGAGGCATAGGGAAGCAGACCAGGATATCCAGCTCATACAGTCCCCATCTTCACCTGAGAAGTAGTGCCACCTTCCCATCAGCACAGGCTGGAAAGCCTCTACATTCTTCAGCCAGGTGTCACTGATCAGCCTTACTCCTTTCTCCTGACAGGCTTACCTTTCATAAGGCACTGAAAGGACACTGGGAAGGAATAATGGCAAGTGCCAGAGGAAAGCATCTCCCAGTTTGACTGATTGACCCAAAATTACACTACTTGGCACTGTCTCAGAGAATAGAGAGGTCTCAGCAATAAAGAGGTCAGGCAAGCTGGCCTGCCCACCTGCCCTCCCTCTGGCCTCTGTTACTGGCAGTCAAGTGAAGCATAAAGGCTAATGTCTCATCAGCAGTTCAGAAGGGTAAATGAGAAATAGTTATACCTACTCCTTTGGCACACCAATTTTCCTTGTCTGTGTCCAGCATGAGGCAGCATGTTAAGTAAGCATCTCCACTGAGGAAGAAGGCCCCCTTCCCTTTAAATACGTAGGTGAAGCTGACAACGTGAATTAGATGCCAAAATAATTGTTTGGAGATCTTTGGAAATCTGCCCATGTTGTTTGTTGCTAACCCTCTTGTTTGTTGAGTTCCCTCATTACTCTGCTGTTTCTCTAGAGGAAGAGGTCTGAGTCATGTATTTTCGTATAGCACAGAAGTTTCAGCAAGTCTTTGAACAGTGGAGTTGGAGACAAGAGAAGCACTGGCAGAAGAGGTGAAGGGGATCTTCCTTGTTCTCCAGCCTGCTTTCAACATTTTAGGCTTGCAGAGGCTGTACAGCTCTTGCACCAAGAAGTTTATTATGACCCAGTCCCCTTGAAAGGGTACAGTTCCATTTGCAGGGACTGTACTGCTCACACCTGCAGGGAAATTGCCATCTACAAGCAGAGGGGAGAGCAGACTTTCCCAGGGGGCACTGGCAGCTGCCCTGAAGGTGTTGAAAGATTTCTGGGAAAGCAGTTGCTGAAGGAAGTAATGGAGGAGAGTCCATAGGGAACCCTATGGCCAATCCTGTTCCACTCACAGATGCAATGAAGAACAAATCAAGTTGTCTGCGAGAAATTCAGTGGGAAATCTAAGTTTATTCTAGTTCCTGCAAACTGAGGGTTCTTTGCTTCATATTTCTATACCTATCCCCCTGTAAGAGTGTAGCATGGGCAGGACAAAAATGCAAATACTTTCTTGGTGTAACCAGTCTAGACACTATTTCCACTTCTTTCTTTCCCAGTGCTCCTGCCCTTAAGGGTTTACTTTGACCAGCAACATTTAAATAAAAACCAGTGCCGTGAAACTGTAGTCAAGAACATCCCCAAAGAAACTACCTTCCCCAAAGCTACCTCGATGCAATGGGAATGGCTCTCAGGAGGACTCAGCAGCCTGTCATCCTTTCTCCTCCTTTGCTCCACAGGACCAGTGGTTAGTCATAGCCTGATGAGATCCCTTCCTGTCTCCTTCCTCTGCCACATCTTTGTGCCGTCATTTGCATCCGGGTCTCACCCCTAAGCCACACCAGGAGGTTTAACCTGAGGCAAATACAACAAAACAAACAAGCAAACCTGTCTCCCAAGTGTTGATAACACATGGAGCTGTTCCCAGGTAAAACACAGCAGAATGGATTTGTCTGCAGCAGCTGATGGGACAAGCTGCTGTGAGGAAGTCATTGGGCATGGCGATGCCATGGGGCTGGGCTGCACAGCGGGGAAAAGGGGAATCTGAATCAAGTCTTCCTTATTTTTCTGCCTGTTGTAGCCACTTCCTCCTGGAAGGTGAGCACCCAGCTGCCGACAGGTGCTGTGGACTCAAGAGTGATCACACAGAAAGAAAGCGGGTGATGGAGGCTCCTGCACTGCATTTGTTACAAGGCATGCATGTCTAAGACCTCTTTTAGTCTTAGTCAAATATTAAACTATGGTGTGGTTTACCCCCCCTGAGTCATCTTTGGAATAGTTCTTTCCAGACTGAGAGCAGACACTTCAAAGACAGAAAAAAGTTAACAATGACTCACTGTTTCAGGACCCCTTCAAAACACTCCCAAGTTATAAAACCACACACCCTACTTTCCCTTCATGCTAACATGAATAATACATGTCTCAGCTGAAGCCATGAGAATTTATTCATTTTGCAGAAGACAAAGACTGTAATAGGATTTTGAGGTTAGGAGAGCAAACATTGAGTTGGAAGAAGAGCTGCTGCCACAGAGAGGGGTTCCTAGTAGAAGTTCTTGATCTTGGGCCCAATCTCAATTAAAAATTTAATTACTGAATTCCTTCAGAATAAACTGGGCATATTTAGAAACTGTGCTACTATTACTGAATATACTGAACAAAACTAAGTATAAAGTGACTTTAAAGACAGTTAGGATGAGCAGCAGAAAACCTTGCAGCAGAACTTAGCACAGCCTTCTGCTAAGAGTGAAAAACAAAAAAACACCTATTGTAAAGGCTAGACTTCATCCTCTTATGAAGGGGCTCATCCTTTCACAAATATTTTTATAAAGTGAGGGGAGACACTAGAGATGCCAATCAATGAATCCTCCCAGCGCTGTATTTGTAGGAATTACATTACTCCTATATTGCTTGGCACAAGCAGAAGAGACATCATGTCCATCAGGACATCTGCAGGAAATCTGTGACAGACTTTGTAACACAACACTGCCGCTGAGATAGATTAAATTATTGCCAGTGAGACAAAAATATCAAACGGCAGTGTTTAGGCACAATTCTACCAGTGTGGATACCCAAACAGAGTTGCTGGTTTGCCATGGGACCAGCTGCTCTCTGATCTCCCTGCTCCTGTGTCAGAGAATTGCACCGACTCCACTCCTGGCTCCACTCCAAAGGCTTTGAATATTTTTCCAGGAAAACCCTATTCCAGGTTAAACACAAGAGAGAGTTCCCAGCAGAGCATCTCAGGCAATGCAGAACAGAAGGAGACAACCTTGTTGCCATTTTTATTTCTCCTGCATATATTTAGATGTTCAAATACAACAAAACAAGCAAGGTCAGCTCCCCCTTTACTGCTTGCATGGTCTGCAGGCAGGTCCAAAAGATCTGGTTTGTAAATGGAGTGGAGACACCCATGCTTCTTCTGACAAAGGCTCATAAAGCTAATGAGGAAAGCAAACATCTCTAAGGAAATCAGCTCTGCAGATACACGTTTCCTCCTCTTAATTTTCAAGGGGTTTTTTTATACCTTACCACTGCCATATCGAAGTAATTCCCTTTTCCTAACAGATGTCAGTACTATACAAATGCCAACATCAGGCTGGAGAAAGTCATGAGAGGTATGGAAAAAATAATATTCTCACAATATTATCTTCCTGTGGTGCTTGTGACAGCCAGGAGACAGGGAACATGTCTCTAAGGACGCTCAAGAAATCCTGTGAGGATACACCAGGCTGGATCAGAGATACAGAAAGAAACAGCAAGAATTGAAATGCTGGACACCAGAACCGTCTCCCAAACCACAAAGCCAACTCCTGTTTGATACATAGCTGCTGCTCACCACCTCTTTCTGAAGACATACCATGGAATGCTGTCTCAGATTTGCTGTTGTTATTTTAAGTGATGAAATATTTCACTATAAATAATGTCCAAGCAAATTACCAACACTCCCAGCTCTCCTAAGGACAATGACAGAGGGATAAGAGCACTTTACCCAGGGGTTTTAGGGCTGTTTACCAACAGAGATGACACAGGTGTGTGTCGAACAGAGGAATTTGATCATGGGTCTGCAAGTAGAAGCAGGAAGGAGGAAAATACATGGACAGGCAGCCTTTGCATTCCCATGCCCACAAACAGCACCATCCTGCGAGGCAAGGGCCCTACAACTAGACCACAGCTAACCTATATGAGATTGAGGACAACAATGGAGTGCTGCTCATGGGTGGAGGGTGATTACTTAACATTTTCACTGCTGCGGCAGCAGAGGTCCTGCCACTCAGGCAGCCTCCAAGTATGAACCCAAGTGCTTCCACTTTAAAAAAAAAAATAAAAATTATATATATAGTGTCCCAAGAACAGGGAATTCATGATCTAGGGATGCCTGCACTGGGCATAAAACTTCTTGCAGCAGCAACGGCGGTGGGCACTGCGGACAGGCTGCAAGGCTGACTCATTTGGGTTAGCGAGACACGGCTAATGGTGCTCCCTGCCACTGGCTACCGGAGCACAAGGGCGACTGCCACAGGACACAGATCGCCTGCTTCTCGGCTTCCAGCTCCTTTGGAGCATCTAAGGATGCACGGGGATGCAGTCAGCACCCAGCAGGTGGGATGCTCGTCTAGAGCGGGAGAGAATCGCTCCCGGCCCCATTCCAAGGGGAGTAGAAGATGGTATCAGCTCGTCTCTCCTCCCCTTCCTCTTACGCAATTCAGCAAGCAAGGGAGTGACTTGATTTTTTTCCCACCCCCCCACTCTCCCAGGGTTGGTTTTCACTTCCTGCGCCCGCCGAGCCTTTGTCTCCGCTGGACGCAGCTGAGCGCCGGGGGCGCGGCGGGGACGCCCCGCTCGCAGCAGCGGCTTCAGCCCAGGGCGCCCAGGTGGGGGCTCGGAGCACACCTGGGGACGAGGTGCAGGGTCGGGGGACACGGCGGCTTCCTCGGGGCGAGCCGGAATCCGGAGCGCAGCCTCGGCCGTGCTCCGGCTCCCTCTCGGCCCGGGCTGGCACGCACTGAACACCGTCCCTCTAAGCTTCCTATGTCTTCTCCCTTCCTTTAGGAAAGGATTGAAGTGTCGAGACAGTGAGAAGCGGGGCGCCAAGATGGCCAGAAGGAGTCCGGGTCCGTGGTTTGTGCCCTGGCTCTGCTTGGTGCTGGTGCTGGGCTTGGGCGAAGGGCAGAAGGAAAAAGCTTTCGGTGAAATGTGCCTGGAGGAGTTCACGGCTGGGCTGCCGGATTGGGTGCTGGACACGGGCGCCTCCGTCAAGAACGGAGCCACTTTCTTGTCGTCCCCTATGGTGCACCGGAGCAGGGACTGCATGAGAGCCTGCTGCAAGGACCCCGCCTGTAACCTGGCTCTCGTGGAGCAGGGCCCGGGCTCGGAGGAAGACCACATCCAGGGCTGCTTTCTCCTCAATTGCCTCTATGAGAAGGCTTTCGTCTGCAGGTTTGCCAGGAAGGTCGGCTTTCTCAACTTCTTGAAGAGGGACGTGTACGATTCCTACCTGGCAATGCAGAATCACAGACCTAGTGGTAAGGTGCCCGTAGTGGATCCCTGCAAACCTGGGTCTGGAAGAGCATTATGGTTACTCGGTGCCAGCTCCTCCGGCCGTCATATGAGCGGCAGTGCTGCCAAACACTCGGGGTAGAGTGATGCTAAAGATGGGGGTTCTGTGTTTTCTTATGCCACAAAGGTTCTCCCAAACCCCAGTAGTCATCTTTAAGCTCCGTGCCTCAGTTTACCTGTTAGTAAATGAATAAGGAATCTCCCTTTGGCCTGTTTGAAGCAGGTGGAGCATGTGATTACCGAAGTCAGAGTTTTTGCTACTTGACGATGTAGAGAAAAAGGTATTATTTTTCTTCTCCCTTCCCCTGGACCTTTGAGGTTGGAAAGTGAAATCCTCTAAAAATCTACACATCACCGGGTTTTAAAGGGCTGCATTAATCTCTTAATTGCTCAGGGGCTGGAGGCAGGATGCAATCCACTTACCTTTATTTAACAGCAGCCTGGATGGTGAGGTGTGTCAGTATTGCTCTGCTTGTTGGGGCTGGTCACTGCTGCTGGGAGAGGAGCAGCTGGAGGAGGCTGGATATAAAATTTCCCCTTTGGAGGTGGGTTTCTCCTCCCCAGTCCCTGTTTCCCTGCTCTAAAAGATTGCGCCTGGACACAGAGAGCCAGGTGGAAAATTAACTAATCTGAAGATGGCCACCTGCTATCTCCAAAGAATTGCAGTGTGCTCAGAAACACTAAAAACACAGCAGTTCCTCCTTTTGCTCCCTCCTTCTGTGTTTTGGTTGAAGCCTGGTAAGGCTGGCATGTTTCTAGCCTGGCTGGGTCTTTGGCAACCATAACCAGTTCATCATTTGTTGATCCCTGGGCAGGGCTGTTAGGGCATATCTCAGTGGGTAATCCTACTCACACCCCCTCCCAGCCCATCTGTGGGAAGGAAAGGATCTGTGAAGATGGCAAGGGGAGCATCCAGGTGGGCACAAGGGCTTGATGACGTGAGCTGAATAGATCTTTGGTCTTCTGCTGGGATGTGCCAGCCTGAGGCCTTGTGGGTGCTGGAGGTGGGAAATGGCACCAAACTCCACAATGACCACTTCTCCATCCTGAGTAGCAGTGTGAGGGGTTTGGAGCAGGGCACAACTTCTCTGAAGCAACCCTCGGGTGTTGCTGGTTTGAACAGCAGTGTGGCAGAAATGGTCTTCCTGGTTCTCTGTCCATACTTATGGCTTCCTACTGGATTTTAGGGACTTTTGGTAAAAGTGTCTCGCTGTTTCACTAGTTCTCCCTCGTCTCCGTTCCAGGCTCAAAGTCCTTTTCACGGGAGCTGCAGTTAGGGAGGAACCGAAGGCCACATCCCCAAGACTGGAGGTGGCATGCTGGCAGCTGTCTAAACTCCTATATGCTTAGTTATAGGAGGAAAAGGGAATGCATCATCTCCACTACATCCTGATTTCACAAGATTAGATTAAAATACAATGTATTGTTGAGCAATTTAGCCTCTTTACCTCTGTGGAGCAGTGCCTCATACAAGAAGACTGTAAGCCCCTCGTCCCTTGACTGGTCCCAGGGTCTGGCATTCCCTGTGTGTGGACCCTTAGAAAGTGTCCCAGGGTCACCAGCCTCTCTGTGTGACCAGCAGTGACTTGTTTGCTAAAATATGGTGCCGAGCTGCAGCATCCCAGCCACCAATATGCAGTCTTGCAATCCGTCCCTAGCGCTCCTTTCACCTGGGATCCTGGGATGGCTGTGGCAGAGCAGGAAGACCCAGGAGGGCTTATCAGTGAGAAGTGAAAAGCACTCCAGAAATGCAGTTCGGATTACTCTGCCTGGAGGCAGCCCTGCCTCTCCTCACTCACGTGGGGTTTGTGCCCCGGACTGCTGTGGGTGTAGGAAGGGCTCGGTCTCTTCTGCAGCCTGTTTGTCCTTTGGAGGGTGCTGGGTGCCAGGCAGGTCCCCAGCTGTGGTGACAGATGCTGGGCAGCTCACTGCTGTGTATTTGGATCATGCTGCAATGCTTGTGCTGTGCTTTGATGGGAAATGTGTTCCACTCCTCTCTGAAATTTTTAGGCATTCAATACCAAAAGCTTGCTGAATCATCTTGGATGACACTGGAGGGCTAGCAGGGGAAAGAGACCAAGGGAGTTATCTTACTGCAGAAATAGCTGAGCCCTCCTCACCACAGAAGTTGATGAGACACTTAAGAATGCAAATGTCCATTCTGATTCAGATACAAACCAGAAAAACCCAAACCAGAACCCCAAGCCCCTCCAGCCGTGATGCTGGAATTGGGTCCATGCAGGTCTGGACAGGAAGATGGATGTCTGGCTGTCACTGAGGGGGAAAAGGGGAAGGGCACAATGGGGCAGGTGCAGGAGGCCAGGTGAAGGAGCCTCTGGGCACTGTGTCCACCTGGCAGCATAAGGAAACTACAGCATTTTGGTCTGGGACCTTGTAGGGATGCCTGAAGAGGTCAGGTGAAACAAGCATTGAAGGAAGCTGGTTTTGGCATGTCAGGTCTTCCTCCTAAAATCTTGGCCCATGTTTTAGACTGGAGACAAAACTATTTTTCCTGCTGTTGTGCTGTATCACTGCTAAAAGGTGAAGTTTTGTGACTACTCTGGATCCCAGGTTACTGTCAGCCCTCAGATTCTGGCCCTAAGGGTCTGCAGGAAGCTTATCTGCTGCTTTATCATGCATTCCTTTCTTTTCATTTCCTTGTATGTGCTGCTGTCAGATGTCCTAGGAGCCTTTACCTGTATCACTCTTCCAACACCCTCTGCAATCATAAGAATTAAATGTGTGTTTTTTCTAGTGAATAATGAAATATCCAGTTAGTGATCCCAGTGGGTGACATTAATCTAAAAAGTCACACGTTGTAGGACCCACACTACTCCTGCTACTACAGGGAACAGACCTGTTGAATTTAGAGGTTTATGTATCTTTAGGAGGAGACTAGGTAACACTTGAAAGAGAGCACACAACTGGGGACTGATGAATGGACAAATTTAACCTTGGAGTGTTTCTGGAGCCTGATGGAAGTAGCTGAAAGCTGGGAGAACATATTCTTGCAGTGCTCTTGCCCTCATTCAAGCATCCACAGCGAGACTGTTGGCAGCTGAGCACAGGGACAGAGGTACCTGCTGTAAGCCACTGTGGTCACTCTTACAGTGTTATGACCTCAGAAAAACCTGTGGGTACAGGAAACAATGAGTACAGCTGAAATCTGGGTTCTGCACATCTTCTGAATATATTTTCAGTATTGTGCAGAACAAGAGCTTCTGAGTTCTTTGTAAGTTGGAGAAGACAGCTTGGCACTGTCTCTTATCTGTTTCAGCTAATGTACAGCCTGAAGTCTCTGATGTTATTGTTAAAAGGCATGATCTGCTTAAATGATTCCTCAGCCTGAACTTTGGTGCGAGTTTTCTGCCTGGCTCATCCGGGAGGGGCAGGCTCACCATGAACTTTATTGGTTATAATGGAGCCCAGTGTTTAAGTAACTAGCCAGCTTATTCTGGTCTAGGCAAACCAGTTTTGGGTGTGAAACTGGAAAATAACCTCCCTGAACCTTTGTCCATTTCTTGAACTAAACCTTTTGTGGTTCTTGTGAAATGCTTGGTGACACTCTCCTACTCCTGTTGAATCCAGGGCTTGTGAGTGGGAGACGGGAAGTGCTTGGGAGCCTCAGGGTTCTGGTCAGATATGTCTGTTCCTGCCTCACCATGGAGGGGGATTTGCAGGCTAAAACTTTGGTAATGCTTTCTGAAAGGAGAGCTCCCCAAGAGTGAAGCTCATGCCTCCTCAAATGCTTGGTCCCACGCTGGTTTCC